AAGGTGTATAAGACTGGAGAACTAAACACAGTGTCTATCTTATCAGACGTTCTCTTTATAAATAGACGCCTACTGACTTTTTGCTGAATCTGAGGAGTGGGGTGCTCCAGGCCACTCCACTGCTCTGCAGGCTGTGAGCCTCCTTACCACGAAGCCTGGCAGCCTCCAGCAAGTCACACGAGTCTTTCAGGAAAACAGTTATTTGTGTGGAATCTCATCCGCTCAACTTTTTTCCCACTATTCTCCTAACATTTAATAGCAAATGGGTGTTTTTTTTTTTAATTAAAGCCAGGGTAACTGTCAAAACTGAAAAGTTGTTTGCTTTACCAGGTCAGTGTGAACCAGGTTATTCTTTTAAAGAATGTAGACTGAGGAAGATTTAGCTGACAACCATTTCATCAAAGTATACAACACTCTTTGAGTTATATTTTCTCTTAATTTGTATGTGGGTCAGGTTTTTGATCCAGGCTTGGTGGTTCCTGCCTAAAATCCCAGCATATAAGAGTCTGAGTCAGGACAATTGTGAGCTTGAGGCTAGACTAGGCTACGTAATAAGACCTTGTCTCAAAAATAAAACAAGAAGCCTCAGCTCTTCTTCCTTCCCCCTGCCCCTAAACAACAAAAATGAAGTTAAAAAATTAGTATCATGCTGGTTTAAACACAGCTTCAGTTCATCATCTATATTGGTAGCAATGGCATAGTGGAAGATTACTGGCCTAGCTCCATCCCTGGTTCTTGTCCTGGCCCAGATCATCTAACAGCTCAGATTTGTTAGAGTTTATTACCCGTTGCTTGGTATTGATCTTCAAGTTTATCTGTATAACTGATGCCTGGGGTTCTCCCAAGCTTCACCATCTGTGTATCTTCTGAGGGAGACAGCTCTGGGTGGTAGTGTTTGGTTCACACTGGGTGACAGTGCCACTGGTGGTAGATGGCCCATGCTGGATGACAAGTGTGGGTGGTGGTGGAAGGCTCACACAGGATGACAGATGTGAATGGTGACTGATGGTTTGTGGTGGATGACAGGTGTGGATGGTGGGTGCTCCATGCTTGATGCCAGCACTTGGCAAGATGTTCTCAAATTTGACCTTGCTCTGGGACTTATTTTTAAAGGGCTCTAGCAGGATACAAGACATTTACTGAGAAGCTGATAGTTTTGATTTGTGGCACATTGTCCTAAAATTTTACTGGCACACTGTGAAACAAAGAGTTAAGCTACCTAAAGTGTTGAAGTGACACACAGAGACTGCATACAGTATGCCTGCACCAGTGTTGCTGTGACAACCGACAATTACAGTCATGAATAATCTCTTTCAGTGCTTTGTTACTGATTTTTAGTCTTGGAGGCTGATTCCTTATCTCCATTTTGACATTCTCATGTATGGCTTAGAGTTAATTTATCATTCGCTGTTCTTTTCAGCTGTAGGAATGGATTTTAACTGGTTAGAGGTGTAGGATAAAAGAGCAGTTGGCTGAATCATTTGGGAAAGTTCTAAACATTTAGAAATCCGTCTATGCATCTCCTGAGTCAAGCTAGCAGCTGCTACAGTGGAGCCATTGTTTAGTAGTGAAACAGAAACCTAGTTTAACTAGCTGATCCCTGGTGCCTTGGAGTTTGAGACAAGTTTCCATGCTTACCTAAGTTCTGCCTCTATGTGATTGCCAGATGACTCCCAAGTCCAAGAGGAAGAGCATCCACAGCCGAATGCTGCGGCCTGTCTCCAGGGCGTTCGGTGAGTGTGCTACCAATGCCAGCCACTTCCTTGTAACTGGGAAACATCCCAGCAAGGGGTTCACCCTGTCCCCCAGGGATCCACTCTATTATTTGAGAAAGATGTGGGTAATTGGTGAGGGGCAGTAGACTTAGAAATTACTTTCCGAAGCCAGGTATGGTTGCTCATTCCTGGAATCGTATGAGACTGGGGTAGGAGTTGGAGATCAGCCTAGGCACATAGTGAGTTCTAGGCTAACCTGGTTACAGAGTGAGAGACTGTCTAAAACAGAACAAAGCAAAACATAATTTGTATAGATTTCTTAGGGCTTTATTATTACTGGTGATGGAATTGGGTTTCTCTATTCTTCCTTTCTTTTATCCCTGTCTCCCTCCCCCTTTCTTCCTTTTCTCCCTCCTTCCCTGTCTCTCCTCCTCTCTCCTTTATTTCCTTACTCTTTTTGTTCTGTTTTGGAGAAGGTCTGAGTGTGTGCCCCGGGTTGGCCTGAACTCAGCCATCCTCCAGCCTTAGCTTCCCCAGTGCTGGCATTGTAGCTGTGCTCCACCAGGCCTGGCCCTTGGGAATTTTCTACTATAGTCTTTGCATCACTTTGTGCCTTGGGGTCTGTTTTATTTCAGAAATGGAGTTTGATCTTGATAAAGCCCTGGAAGAGGTGCCGATTCACATCGAAGACCCGCCTTTCCCATCAATCCGGCAGGAGAAGCGAAGCTCAGGGTTGATTTCTGAGCTGCCCTCAGAGGAAGGCAGGAGACTGGAACACTTTACCAAGCTACGGCCCAAGCGGAACAAGAAGCAGCAGCCTACACAGGCCGCGGTGGGTGTCCACAGGGCTCCTCAGGCCCTCCTTTCCCCCACCTTCTAACTGTTCCAAAACTGTAAATAGTGCCACCACCTGGGACTCGAGTAAATGTCCCAGTGTGTGAGGCCATGGGGTGTCTCTCATTTAAACCATCACAGAGATGGAGACAAGTAAATCCCAGAAGTCCTTGGGCCTGCTAGCCTTGCAGCAGCAGACAGCAAAGTGGCCCTGTCTTAATGAAGGTAGTAACTGACACCCGAGATTGTCCTCCAGCTGCCGTATGTATGCTAGCACTCACATATATGAGCATGTACATACAAAACTAAAAAGAGGTCAGCCCCCTGGTCTGGCCTCGTGTGTCTTCTTTGCTGCTGGCCGATTCTATGTGAACCCATTTCCAGAGCTTCTCCTGAGCTCTGCATTTTCAGATGTGGAATGTTGTGGAACACCTGAGGCTAAACAATTTCTAAACTAGGATCCTGCCTTACCTGTCACCCTGCTTTTCCTTATTTATCCTCTGTCTCCTGTGGGGTCTCATTGGCTGACATGTTAAAAACCTGTCTGTAGCTGGGTGTAGTGGCACAGCTCTTTAATCCCAGCATGTAGGAAACAGAGGCAGTTGGGTTTCTGTGAGTTCAAGGCTAAGCTGGTCTACATAGCAAGTGGTCCAGGTCCACTGGGACTACATATAGAGAACCTGTCTCAAACAAAAGAAAACAAACAAACAGACAAAAAAACCTAGCTGCAACAGTCACTATGCACCACTACCATCCACTTAATCATCCCTGACTCCCATCATGGATGCTGACTTCTCTCCATCCTCTTTTCTTACTGCTTTCCCTAGAACTGAAGATGACTAGCAGGTTTTTCAGATCTCCATGGAAACAAAACTTCTTCCAGGAAGCCTTCCTTGCCTTTTCCTCTCTGGTTCTAAAGAGCTGACAGCCTCAGGAAAAAGTGGTTCTCATCAATTTGTGCTTGGTGTAGAGCTGGTGAACCCCCCCCATAGGAATAAGTATTTACCCTGAGATAGCTCTAATTGCATATTCCCAGCTCTCTTCTTTGCCTGTGAATTCCATGGAGTATGGCTTGTGACTCATAACCTATATAGGAATGTGCCTGACACTGATGCTGTGGATTGAGAATAGCGGTGAGTGCTCAGCAGTGGTTATTGGATCAATTGGGGAGAGCTGAAAGCACAAAAAGCTCAAGGGTTTCCCCACTTGCCCACATGGTCAGTAGTTTACCTTAGAAGACTGGTGTTCAGATGCGTTCATTTGAATCTGAAGAGCTGGACGCAGTGTCATAGTTTCCTTTCCAGCTCATTTGATTTTGGATTCTTTATACAACATTATGCAAGCTTAGATATATAAGCACTTACTGGTATTTTATTTTAAGTAAGGGAGAGGGGCTTATCAGATGAAGAAAGAGACACCTTCCACTACACAGGCTCAGACTTACACTCTAGATTGTTGCTGTGTAAATGGTCCCTCTTTGGCTGTCACTTCTGCAATCATTAACAGCATGACTTGAATGTGAAATGATGGGTTCAGTATCTATGTGCCCTTGGAGGGAAACATTTTGTGGGTTTGTGCATTTGCTTATTTATCTTGCTTTTATAATTCTGGGGACCAAACCCCACAGTCATATGCAAGTTATTCTTTCTTCCTGAGTTGAAAAAAAAACTAAAAAGAATGAGGCATGTGGTTTGTGCCAATAACCCTAGAGGTTGTGAGGCTAAGGGAGGAGGATCAGGACCACAAGGACATCCTTCAGTACACATCATGCTGGAAGCCAGCTTGGGCTATAGGAGACCCCTGGAAAATAAGAATAACAACAAGAACCACAGGAACAGAGGAATGTGGTCATTCTTGGATATACAGTGAAGGTATATTAATTACTATGATTTCTCAAGGCTCACTGTTTCCTGAGTACTGTCTTTTAAAACAGTCTTATTGGGGGTCACTCACATTTTCCAGGTAAGTAGCAGGAAGAAGCAAAAAGCTAGAGAGAAATGTAACTGATCAAAATAGTTTCAGCTGTTTTCTTCACTAGTGTTTAGTCTCAATAGTTGTCTGGTGTGACCATCAGGTTTTTTGCCAGTACTGTGTGGAACCAGCTTGTCCCGATTGATCTTGGCTAGTCTGAAATCTGCCTTTGACCTCCACTACATCCTTGAGCTACCCTAGAGATCAGAATTCTGAAAGCCGAGACTGTTTCAAATGCCCACATGTCACTGTCACTGAGCCAAAGCTAGTAATGCTGTCACTCTGATTTTTGTGCCAAAATTAACAACAAAATTACATAAACACTGTCCTTACAGAAATTCTAACTCTCCTTTAAGGAAGTAAACCAAATATGAGTGACTGTTCCTAGAAACACAGGCTTGTGTACCCCTATAGAAAAGCTTTGAAGTCACAGGAAAGAAGGTCACAAATTCTTATGTTCACAAAAGCACAGAGAGAGGCTCATCAGGGAAGCTTTATAGCATCCTCAACTTTAGAGCATGTAGAGACTTGTGGGTCAGGCTTAGGTGACATTTGAAAAGACATGAGGGTATTGGGGTAGATACTGAGGTGGACAGTCACTATATCCAAAGGGACTAAGAGAGTACAAAACAGCTTTGTCTCTTGGCCATCCACATTCCATCTGTGTTCTCTGGGGAACAGACTGCATAGCTATGCATAATGGATTTACTGGGATGGTGTACACAGGAGACGCTGGGCAGCTCAGCAATGGCCATGCTGGAGAGGCTGAGAACCTGGTAGCTGCTCAGCCCACGAAGCTTGGTGCCTCAGCAGTCCAAATCTGGTGCTGAAGGCCTGGAAGATTTCTGGAGCCACTGGTGTTCTGTCCTCATTGGAAGGCTGAAGAAGCTGGAGATGAGAGTGGAAGTTGGCAGTGTCTATGGTGGCAGAAGCAGCATCGGTAGACACACCCAGCAGCAGAAGCAAAGGCAACACTGCCTTCCCTAGGATCTCTTTATATATGAAGCACCCACTGAAAGGCATTACCTACTCTCAGGGTGCAGCTTTCCCCTTGTTAACCCTTCCTGCAACTCCACACACACCCAGAAGTGTGTCTCCTATCTGAATCCAGATTTGGTCAAGTGGACAAGAACTGTTCCCTCTCTAGTTGCCACGCTCTCTCCACCTGAGGTCTGGCACTATGCAGGGTCTTTAACATAGAGAGAGGCAGCTTCTCCAGTGCTTCAGGTCACGGTATGAAGCAAAACACAGATGATCCTTTTTGTTTCCATTCAGTGATGGAAATGAAACCCAGGGCCTGGCACATGCTAGGAGAGCTATAGCCCAGCCTGTAATTTAAAAAATAAAATCATAAAAGGTCATACTTGGACCGGGCTTCAATAATGTCAAATTACCACCTGCTTTTGTTTTTAAGTTTTATTTACTCATTGTGTATACAGTGTTCTGCCTACATGTTTGCCTGCATGCCAGAAGAGAGCCCCATTTCTCATTTTGGCTGGTTAGGAGCCACCGTGTGGTTGCTGGGAACTGAACTCAGGATCTCTGCAAGAGCACCGAGTGCCCTTAACCTCTGAGCCATCTCTCCAGCCCTGCCAGCTATCTTGTGGCTGACAATTATAAGCATCTGCCCTCTGCACTTTAACTGTCCCCTGTGCTCACGCAAAAGCAAGGCTTTTGTAAAAACAAGAGTAGCTTAATCTACTCCCTTTTCTTCCCACTTATTAAAGTGAATATGCATTCTCTTAGACATGTGTGATAGTCCTTCAAATTGTTCTTGAGGTCGTTTTAGTAATTTATATTTTCATGGAATATTGTCTGTTTGATCAAATTGATCGTTTACATAGAATTTGAATTGCTCTTAACTTTCATTAACTGTCTCTTTTTCTCATTCTCTATTTTTAATTAGTCAATATTTTCTTCAGATTTATTTTTGAGACAAGATTTTGCATGGTTCCTAGGCTAGCCTCAAATACAGCAATCCTCTAACCTTACCCTTCCCAGTACTAGATTCCAGGCCTGGGCCACCATGCTAGGCCCATTCCTGATATATTTTAATGTCTTTCATCCATTGTGTAGCCGTCCCATGGTCTATTCTCAAAGAACTGCCTTTCAGTTTTCCTCTGCCTCCAAGTCCGTTGCATATTCTCCTGTATTGCCTTTCTTGGGTGCATTTCTGATGTTTCCTTTGGATGTCTGTCTTCCTTCTTTGTTGCTGTAGGAGGCATGCATGGAAGGTGTGTGGTCACTCAGCTTCCTAAGGTGTTCTCTCCGGGCACATTTGCTCACACTTCCTTCGGTCCAGCTCCTTCTGGTTTATAAAGCCATGTCAAACCCAGGTGTCTACTATGCCCCTGAGTGTTCTGCTCAGTCACCCTGGTGAGGGAGACAAGAAGGTGGTCTGAACTGCCTTTAACCTCCCAGGACCCACTTACCTTCTAGTCACTCTCAAATCAACCTTTCGGAGAGTACACATTCATTGGAGGTGCACGGCACCAGGGACTTACTTATCTGAGGAAGCTAGACAGCTCCCCGAGGCGAAGTGTAGTCCTGCCCGTGCAGGGTGATCCCTGCTCTCCTTCTCCAACAGCCCTGCTGCTCTTTGCATCTGATGCTGATTCTGGTTGACGGAAGATACTTGAATCACATCACAGCTTCTCCTTTTGCTAGAAAATGAGTGTTAACAGCAAGTGCTTTTGGCCTTGAACTCTCTTGACCTGATTCTATTCATCATAGTCTGGGTACTGGCCGCGTTTCCGAGGCCAGCTCCACCGGAACTTCCCTTCAACTGCTGTCTTTATAAAGTGCCTCCTTTTAAAGCTGCTGGTTATCTCTTAACCTGCATCCTCTGTTCTTTACCTGTAAATGTCAGGGGTACACTGGAGGGGCTGGAAGGTGCAGTCCCGCCCTGTGAGCTGCTGTGTCTGGGGGAAGCTGCACTCCCCCTCCCTCTCTGGAGCCTCCGTGCTCTCTGTACATACCATGGGGGCCAGTTGTGAATTCTGTTTTCAAAGCAGGAAAAACAAAAAGGGCTGAGGGGGAGACATTGAATGAGAAAAAACCACATAACCCTTTACTTACTGGATTAAGAAGGGGCGTGATCAGTGAGGCAGCTAAAGGAAGCCACTCCTAGCTGTCCTCTTGTCTCCCTGGTACTGAGTTATAGTTGCTTTTTTTATTTTCTAGCACTTTGCAAAAAAAGAACTTTTCACAGCCTATTTGGTCCAGCCATACCAATCCCCCATCGTGCATTTTTTACAGTACATCTGTTTCATGGGTGAATGTGGTGATACATGCCTGTAATTCCAGCAATAGTGAGGCTGAAGCAAAAGCATTGCTGCAAGTTCAAAGCCAACCTGATCTACATAGTGAGTTCCAGGCCAGCCAGGGCTTCTAGCAGAGACTGTCTCAAAACACCTGTCCCAATCTACAGCCATACCAAGCTGAATGTACATGATGTCATCAAAACCTGTCTCCCACAATCACCAACATCATGCGTGTCTATAAACCTGATTTTTCCTCACTGGGTTATGGTTCTACACCTGCTCTCTGTTCCTGTAAATCCATACTGTAGTGAGTCATAGCCATATTTTAGGTTGTTGAACCCAACAGAACTGAAGGTATATTGAGTTGACTGTGGAGTGAAATCATGTTTGTTTTGCAGATCTGTACCACCAGCATTATCCCCCATGATGGAGAACAGAATGGCCTCATGGGCAGAGTGGATGAAGGTGTAGATGAATTTTTCACCAAAAAAGTAACTAAAATGGATGGCAAGTAAGTGTCCAGTCATTTCATTAAAAACAGTATTTCATCCATATATAAATGGCTAATGGGTATAATTTATCTAGGCATCACAGTCTTATACAAGCGATTTACTGTCTGGATTTGTAAAACATGGTCTCTAACAAAGCATCATTGGTGTTGCTTGGGAACTTGATAGAAATTCAAATTCTCAAGCTCTCACCACTGATCTGCTGAACCAAGAGGCTGTAGGACATGTTCCATAGCAGCCCACATCACATCCAGGCCAAACTTCTACTAATGCAGAGGTGTTTCTTATATTCATCTGGAAGATTCTGTTTTAGGACAGTGAGCATCCTTTGAACTTTCTTATTCATAATTTGATCTGTTGTCAGATTGGGCAATAAAGTGACGGGAGAGTGGTGCAGGGCCCTTGGACTTACCCTATGTTGTGGTTGCTATTGTACACTTGACAAGCTCATGCTCACCTAGTATACAAAACAAGCCTGTAGGCATGCCTATAAGGGATTATCTAGATTATGTTAATTGGTATGGGAAAATGCAGTCTGATTGCTGGCGGCAGTATTGCATCCAGTCCCTGGCTACATGGAAAGGAAAAAGCCAGCTGAGCATGCTCCCTCCTTCCTGTAGATGTGCAACTCACACTGTACCTACGACTGCCTCTCCATGATGGACTATTCTCTGGAACTGTGAGCCAAAGCTTGTCCTCCCTTAAATAGCTTGTGTCTCTGGGTATTTTATCACAAGAGGAAAAGTTTCTGCTGTGTTCTCTAAAGACTTATCTCTACATTTCCTTATTGCTAGGGTGTTGCTTCCTTAGAAGAGAGTTCAGCTAGGCATGGTGGCACATGCCTATAGTCCTAACCCAGAGATTGAAGCAGGAGGACGAATATAAATGAAGTCATCCTGGAATGCATAGTGAATTCCAGAGCAGCCTGAGCTATATTGTTCAACTTAAAACACTCCTGCCTTTATACATGATTTTCCTGAAGTTATTCAATCTGTTACTAAAAGCTGATATATCTCAGAACAGACTCCAAGCTTGGTTATAGTTGTGAAGACTGCTTCAGCTTAGAGACAAAGGAATGCATTAAACCTTGAAGATAGCTGCTGGCAGGCTGGCAGGAGAGCTGAGGAAGGGCTCACCTAGGCTATGATTGATGACTCTTATCTATTCTCCGCAGGATGCTAAAGTAGAAATAAGTTAAGTCTCATAGCCGTGGCAGTGGAGCTTAAAGATGCTTGTAAGCTTTAACATCTAATTACTGAGTGTCATTGACACAAGTCTTGCAGCTTAACTTAGCATAACTTGGCAGAATTCTATCTTTCAAGACCCACCAATATGTCATTTATTCTTTGATAGTACCCTATAGAGCTTCATTTGCAAAAATTAATTCCTGCTGGTTCCTGGCCTTCCCTGCCTCCCTCTGTCCCCATGCACATCTGTAGTGTGCATCTTCAAGAGTTCACTGGGTTTTGGTTGTTTTATTATACAAGGATCAATACATTTTCAAGAGGGTCAAGAAACACCAATACAAACAGAGCAAAATGGAAAATTCCCTCTTGATAGAATTGCCACTTGTCTCATCCGGAATCCTGTTCAAGATCAATACCTGGGTCTTTTTGTCTCTCCAGTTTGCTGGCACACATAAAGTGTTTGACTCTTAAAATTCATGTTCTTTGGATCTGGAGTATTTTTTTGATTGTTTCTTTTGTAAATCTCTTCTGTTTCCTCTTTACACTTTGTTAAACTTCCTCTATTCCATCTGGTATTTCCTCTGTTAACCTATTAATTCTCATCATTTCTCTCCCAGTTTCTTATTCTTAGCATATCCTTGCCACATTCTGTGGTATTTCTTTAGTTGTACCATTTAACCGTAAATGTTCCATTTGTGTCACATTTTTGCTTTTATTTCTGTTTTGTTGCACTATTTCTCTGATTGACTCTTCAGACAATGATTTTGAGGTGTACTGTGTATTATTGACCCTGTGGCTTGGAAAAAGGAAATAATACTTGGTGAATTGACTTTCAGCCATTCCTCCCTATCTCTCAGCTTCCCAGCCACTTCCCCTTGTGAAAGAGCCTTTGGTTTGCAGTCTTCAGCCACTGAGATTCTAGCTGCTCCTGGATCTCCAGTTTAGATTTCAGTTGCTCAGATCCATGAAACTATTTTGTGCTATTTGGGCTTCCAAGTGGTGTTGCCTATGCTTGCCTGTGTGGCTTTTGTGTTTTGTTGTTGTTATTCATTTTCTCCTTGGCTCTAGTTTTGATGGAGTGTCTGGGGAGCTAGGGGGAGATCCCATCTCTAGTTTTGAGTGGCAGATTCCTTGTGACACTTTTTTGTTTGTTCATTTCATCCATTTCCCAAATTTCATTTCTTTCTTCCTGGAAACCTATCCTAAAATTTAAACTTATTCTGTCTAGTTTTGTTTTTAGCTATAAGGTCTCCTGTAGCCCAACCTGACCCTGAACTTTATATAGCTGACACTGGCCTTTGAACTCCTGATCCTCCTGCTCCATCTAACAAATACTAGAGTCATAGGTATTGTATCTCCACCCTAGCCACAAGTATTTTCCTTTGTTGCTTCTTCTAATAATTTATTCCACTTAAGCAAAGACCCAAATATTTGTCAGGACTGAGCAAACATGTTGGATTTCACCAATTACCTAATAACTACAGGTGATCAAGGAAACCCTTTTCAGTATCCCCCAATTAAACAGAGTAGTTGTACAATTATAGCTCAAGCCAGCCTAGGAGAAGTTCACACTTAAGCCTTTAGCCATCAAAAAGGTTTGTCCTTAATCCTGCCTGACTCCTTCAGATTCGCTCATCTATGTGCTTAGCTTTCTCACAGGTAGCCTAAATTCTTCTGTCTCTAAGCACAGGCTTAACATTTTAAATGCTACAGAATGTAGCTGCTTATGCAGTGGCCACCTTCATGTTCATTGACTTAAGTCCTCAAGGGACCTGTTTCATGGCCAGGCAAATCATTTCTGTGATCTTGGTTGTGGTGCAGGAGATCATCCACACGCTGCTCGGATACCCACGATCCGGGCGAAGGAGATGAGAAGAAAAAACGGGATTCTCGGAGAAGTGGCTTTCTTAACTTAATCAAATCGCGGTCCAGATCTGAGCGGCCACCCACGGTCCTGATGCCAGAAGAGTTCTCGTCCCCAAAGGGGGCAATCCGGAGTCCGCCAGTGGACACTGCCAGGAAGGACATAAAAGCAGCTGAGCACAACGGTGCTGCGGAACGCACAGAGGAGATGAAGACGCCAGAACCCCTGGAGGAGGGTCTGGCAGAGGAAGCAGGCAGGCTTGAGCGTAGCGACAGCAGGGGTAGCCCACAGAGTGGTCGGCGCTATGTGCAGATGATGGGCAGTGGGCTGCTGGCTGAGATGAAGGCCAAGCAGGAGCGGAGAGCCGCGAGCGCACAGAAGGTGAGGAAGGGGCCCTGTGAATGAGTTTGTGCATTCGCTTCTCTGTTTTTATGGGGAAAGGGGAAAAATACCTTGTTGGTTAAGTAGAAATGTGAATACTGGGTGCTGGAGAGATAGCTCCATGATTAAGAGCACTTGTGGATCTGGTAGAGGATCCTGGTTCAATTCTCAGATCCCACATGGTGATTCACAACCATCAGTAACTTCAGTTCCAGGGGACCAGATGCTCTCTGAACTCTGGGCACCAGATATGCATAAGGAACACATGCATATACCGCCAAGCAAACACTCATACACATAAAATAAATTTTACAAAGAAAAAAATTTAAAAATGTAAAACCTAAGTATTTTTGCCAAAGAATTTAGAGCCCAGCTCCAGAACTACTTGCTTGTTTTCACTGCCCCCAGCTGCCTTGTTTGTTTCATTGGTTGGTTGTTTTAGAACAGGGTCTCA